TGTTGCTGGTGTCTGTGAAGCGTGCAGAAGGCAGGACACACGCCCCTGCTCTTGGGTCATGGGCACCCATCCCTCCTTACACTACTTGATGCCCAGTACTGCATGGGGGCCAAGGTTTTAAAACCAAACAAAAAAACGCTGTCAAATACAAAGTACAGTATCTGCCCCTTGGCTACCAGTTGGGGCTGAAAGACACATACAGGGAGCAGGTCACACCGTCTTAGGAGTCATCCTCCCAGCCCCTTATTTGCAATGTCTACCTGCCAGCCGGGGGGAGTGGTGGAGGGGTTGATGGGCCATTAGGTAGCAGTGGACAGTCACGGGCTGTGACCCTTGGGGTATCCTGAGGCGCTCTCTAAGAAAAGGGGGTGCGCTCTGAGGCTGGAAGGTGGGGTCTGGTGTGGCCTGGCGGCTGTGCTGGGACACAGTGCCCTGAGCCTCACTTCGGCCTGCACGCTCCTGCCTTCGGCATCCTGCCTTCCTGCCCACCTGTCTGCCCCACGCTCAGCTCGTCACCACTGCACCGTCTGGTGGGAGCCGGTTTGGTCGGCTTAGCTAGCTCCCCTGGTCCCTCTCCACCAGGTCACCTTGGGGGTCACCAGCAAGCACCTCCTTCCGGTCAGATAGCCACCCTGGTCCAGTCAAGAGCTGCTTTTCTGCAAAGAACACGCCGAGGAGAGGCCGTGGGCTGGGCAGTCCCAGCCGGAAAAGAACACTGGGTGTGGCAGACACCGCAACCAACGTGTCTGAGGGGCTGGGAGAAGGATGAGCTGCTCGCCATGCTCTGGGCATGAGGCTGGGAGGGGCTCCATCTTCCTGGCTCTCCCCCTGGGGCTCCGGGGCCCTGGGAAGCTCTGCGGGAGCTGTGGGGTGGTTTGCTAGTTTCTTCACACCCACGCTGTCCCTGAGCCTGGGGCAGGAAGCAGGCGCTCTGTAGGACGTGCTCTGCAGGGACACCGAGGTGGCCCTGTCCAGGGGGATGCTTCTGGGCGTGGTGGGATCACGCACTCCCACGGAGCAAGGGGTTCCCTGAAGGCAGGCTGTGGTGGGCTTGTCCCTGTGCGCTCACTGCTTCCCTTCCAGACGCCTCGCAATACCAGAGCAGGTGTGGGGTGGCCCCTGGGGTGTGGCAGCAAAGGCTCCACAGCCTCAGGAGAGTCGGGAAGCCACTGGTCGGGTGAGGAGTACCCTGGGTAGGCATTAAAGAGACAGGTGTCCAGTTCTGGCTCAGCCATAAGACGTGGGAACATGAGTGAGTACATTCCTGGACCACTCCGTGTCTCACGGTGATTATCTCCACTCCTACCTGCACCATGGGACTGGCGCAAGAACTGAGGGTTCTGGATCCCCTGGCCCGGGGGTGGGCTGTCGCTATAAGGAGGGCCATGAGCCTGGGGTGTGCTTCTGCCTAGAGACGGACTCACAGTGGTCCTCAGACTGGGTGTGCTGCCTGGTGCTGAGGCTGCAGGTCCGGGGACTACGCTTGCAACACGGCTGTCCCCAGAGCTGCTGTCAGAAGTGGGATCCACGAACCAGCAGCGCCACCCGCCCTGGAGCCCGGATGCAGCATCTCGGGCCTCATAGACCACCTCCTAGGTCTGAGTCTGCATCTCCCACGGGCCTGTGTGCTCCTTGAAGCTTGAGAAGTGCTGCCTTCGGAGAGCCAGGAGGAGAACACATGGGGGGGGGGAGGGCGGTGGATACAGAACTGCTCTTCCTCCGGCAGATTCTGAGGATGCAACTGAGAGGGGCGGACCTGTCAGGGTGTGGACCAGAGGGGCCTGATGCGGACAGCTGCGGTGAAGACGTGGGAAGGAGAGAGGACTCTTCCTCGGGGAAGGTGGACAGAAAACATTCTGAGGAACGGGGGTGGGCCTCAGGGGAAAGGCTCTATCAGGCAGCGTCATTTTGCCCCCGTTTTGCCCTCGGCCAGGCCACAGTATCCTCTGGAAGGCCTTCAGCTGTGGGGAGGGGCTGCACGGGGTCCAAAGCCTGCAGCGGGGAGGACAGGAGCTGTGAGGAATGCGAGCGGTGATTACACATCGATTAAACAGTTTGCTGAGCAGCCACGGGGGCCCGGCTGAGGTGACAAAGCATGAGTCTGCAGGCGACTAAACAAGGCCAGTGTTTTGACTGCCCGCCGCGCTCGGCAATGGAAAAAGCCAGCAGTGCTCAGAGACGCTGGGGTCGTGGAGGGCCAGGAGTTGACTCGCAGATGGACCCAGCGGAAGGTGCGGGGTGTGGGGGAGTAGAGCAGAAGGAACAGGTTCCCCTGAGGATCTGTGGGCTGTTCATCTATAAATTTATGAAAAGAGAGGGGGTGGGTGGGGAGAGGAAAATCCCTCCCACCGAAGGCCTAGGCTTTCTGTGTTTCTCCCTTAGTGCTTATGAAGAGGCAGAATTGAAGCATTTGGCTTCTCTGAGACGTTACAACACATTTTATTGGGGTGGGGGGGATCAGGAGGGTCAAGGTTACAAGTGGTGAAGGTGCTTTGAGCCCCAGAGTTCCTGGCCACACAGCTAAGAAGGGAGGGAGGCGGGGCGAGGGAGTCCGCCCTGCCTCTTCCAACAGCCTGTGCTCATCCTCGAGGTGGGGAGGCCTAGTGCTGGGACCCCCTCGCCCAGCTCAGCCCTCCTCCAGGACCTTCGGAGAAACAGGAACACCAAGTGTGGTGAGGGCCTCTATGCCTAATTAGCCTACAACTCTCCAATCATTCCTTCAAGAAGCGGGAAGAGTGCATGGTATGGCCTCAGAGGCCTCTGCCGTGGCTGCGCAGTCCTTGGGCTATTAGCTCACCACCACCACCCCCCCCCACCCCAATCCCCTTCCGAGGCCTTTGCTTCCTTCCCACTAAGCTCTAGGAGGGCAGAGACCGTGAGTCATTTTTGCCGCTCTTTGCACGGAGCCATGTGCAGGGCACACAGTTAGTTCCCAGGAATTTGTAGAATAAAGGACGTAGAACCTTCTACCCCACCCCCACCTTTGGGGTCTTTGGAGCCGCGCTTTGCAGCCCCCTTGTGACCACTTTGCACGAGGCACTGCACTGGACTTGCTAGGCTAGTGAGAGGATGGGCTAGGGTTACTGTAACGTGAACAAAATTGCTGGCTCTCCCAGGAAGAAGGCACTGTAGCGTGAAAAAAACAAACACACAAGAACCCCTTGATTCCCTTCTATCGCCTCCTCCCTGTCGCGCCCTCCTCTCTTCCCCTCTCCGCACACCCGGGAGAAAGGCTGCCGGGCGCTGCCCGTTGGGAAAGTACCACTCCACAGAGAGGAGTTAGCGTGGGCCGGCAACGTGATTCACCTCCAGCCGATTCTGTTTAGTTCAGGCTGTTCGTTCTGAGCCTTTTCTCCTTCTAATTCAATGATTATTGGTCTCGATGGCGAGAGGGAAGAGCCTGAGCTTGATCCTTGTGAATCTGTGGAGAGCTGGGGGCGGGATGGGTAGGAGCAGAAGTGTTCCGGTTGGCAAAGAGCTGGTGCCCAGGTGGACCGGCGGCCCCGCAGGGAGTTCTAGCCCAGCAGGTGGGGGTGTGGGGGAGGCTGTGCTGTGCAGCCTGGGGACTGCGGTCCGGAACGCTGCCTTTCCCGCGTTCTCCATCTGCACACTCGTTAGCGATGCCCATTCCTGACTCGTCTCCAGGGAGCACACAGAGACTTAAGCTTAATTAACCTGCCAGACACGGCTTTGACTCACTCACTGGGCACCGCCAGAGCTGGGGAGAGGCGCTGTGATGAAAACCTACCGGCTCATCTCCCTGTCGTCACTCAGATTCAAGCCCGTGTGGCACCGACGTCTCTTGCTGCAAATTCCCCGAAATATGTTTCTGCCCTGGGCTGGTTTGCCAGATCGTTGCGTGTCCCCTGTACCATGGCAGCTCAGCCCCTCAAGCCCGAGACCCCTTTGTCTTCCTCTCCCTCCCCAACGACATGCTGTGCCGTGCCTCTTCGTCCGGTCCTTGGCGGTCACTCCTGAGCCCCCACTGTGACCAGGACAGCACGAGGGCGTGGTGATCACTGCAGGCGGCTGGCTAGCCACCAGGTACCAGGCACTCTATGTCCCTTGTTCTTTTCAGGGACCCACTGGAATGACGGGTAATATCCCCATTTTACAGAGAGGCAAGGTGCCCAGAGTCACAGCTGTGAATTTAGCGGCCAGCGTTAGAATTCAAGCTCAGGCCAGATGTCAAAGCCCAGGCTCCCAGCACACCACAGCACCTCCCACAGTAAACCAGTTAGTCCACAGCCAGTCCCCCAGGCCTTCTCCTTGGCGGCCTTTGCTGGGTGCCGAGGGCTTCCTACACACCACAATGGGAAGCAGTCCTCCTCTCTCCGGCTCCAGGCACCTTCCCCACGTTCCGGTCAGCGCCGCCACCTCCCTGACGGTTAATGAGGCAGAGAAAGAAAAGCCCAGGCCCATCAGGTGTATCGCTGTTTGTAGGAATTAGCCTTCCCAGAGGGACTAATACAGCGGTTCTCTCTGGAAGTATAATTAGGAAGACATCACACACGAGTGAGTGAGGCACGTTCGGGGCTGAGGCAGCGATGGAGTGGATTCCCTGTGTTCCTTCATTCACTCCCTGTACCCCCAGGCTCTTTACTGCTGACAGCTTGCAGCTCAGGGAGGAAGGAGAGCCCCATTCAGAGCACCAGACGCTTCCTTGGGGTCAGTTTTTGGTTCAAGAAGGCCCTTAACGCCTGGGCCACAGTGTGGCTCAGTGGTTGAGCATCGACCTATGAACCAGGAAGTTACGGTTTGATTCCCAGTCAGGGCACATGCCCAGGTTGTGGGCTCAGTCCCCAGTAGGGGGTGTGCAGGAGGCAGCCTATCAACGATTCTGTCTCTGAGATCAATTACATATCTAGAAGGCCCCTCACTTCATGCATCTTTCTGCCAGATTACACCAAAGGAGCTCCTTCAGGTGTGAGCACCTGGCTGTCCTGTTCAGGTCGAGGCGGGCTCTGAGTGCTTAACGCTCGCTCTCTTCCTTTCCCCAGGTGTTGACTTCAAGATGAAGACCATCGAGGTGGACGGCATCAAAGTGCGCATCCAGATTTGGTGAGTTGGGTAGGAGGAGAGGACCTCGGGCTGCTCCCGGGCTGCCACTGCCACGTGTAAAACCCTGAGGCTTCATCTGGCACAACTGGCCACCTGTTCCATGGAGAAAAACGGAAGTCTCAAAGCCCACCTCCGTGCTCCCAGGAGCCTTACCTAATCTTTGATCTCAACCTAGAGAAACTATGGGATTGACCACAAGTCACCAAAAGGCAGAAATGAGAGGAATTGACCGATGAACCACTGTGGGTTTGCCTTAGAATGAGGCTTTGGGCTGTGCCACTCCTGGTAGGATTGGAAGGAGGAAGAAGGGCTATACCCCACCTATTAGGGTGGGACGCTGGTGAGAGGTCCTCAGTGCAGCATGGTGCAGTTCCCACAAGTAGCCACAGGGGGCCGCTGTGGCTCTGGCCTCCACTACTGGCCACACTCACTGCCTTTGCCGGCTGCCTCCCAACTCCAGAGTGGGAGGGGCATTGCCTCCAGAGGACCTGGAGGTGGAGCAGTCCCTCCATTCTGGCCAAATTCTAGAGAGAGTTGTCAAGGCCCAGTTACGGCTGTGGCTTCTGGTGCAGATGTAGTGAACAAGGCCCCTACCCCTGTCAGCACCAGATGGCCAGGCACCTCTCCGGCCGACTCATATCCCCCGAGAGACCAAAGCTCCATTGATTTTCACCCTACAGCGCCCCAGTCTTTCCCGCATAGGCACAGGGTCTCTCAGCTCCTGCTCCTCCCTTCTCACCTGCTCCCACGGTCCCCGCTCTTCTGGGGGACTGGCTTTCCACTGCAGGGACACCGCGGGGCAGGAGAGATATCAGACCATCACAAAGCAGTACTATCGACGGGCCCAGGTGAGCCACCATTTTCAGGGTTCAGAGGCGGGATGCTGCCACCCACACTCCCGGCTCTGGGTATTTGAGATACTATCTGTGCCACTCACCCCCAAAATAGGGCCCTTGGATTGCCTGCTGGGGAGGGAGCCCCTAGGTGGTCTTTGAGTTGTTGGTGGACCATTCATTCATCAGTGATTCATGAGCACTCACTCTAGGCAGGTCCCCCACCCTCACCCTCCATCTACCCTGGGCTAAAGACCCAGGTCCAAGTATTTGGTGGCTTTCTACCTCAGGGAGTTTTGGGATGGGTCTAGGAAGCGATAGCATTGGGGGTCTGAGACAGAAGAAGGTATTTTGGGTGCTGAGGAGTCCTTGTTATGCTAAGCAGAGAGCAGGGAGTGTGGGGCCCAGCATCTAAGGCACCGCACGGCTTCTGGCCCCATGCCCGTGCGCATCCCCCTCCCCCACCTCTCTCTCGCTCTCTCCCCCAGGGAATATTTTTAGTCTACGACATTAGCAGCGAGCGCTCTTACCAGCACATCATGAAGTGGGTCAGTGATGTGGATGAGGTAGGAGATGCCACCTCACCACTGGGGTGGGGGAGGGCACCTCCGAGGGGAAAGCGAAGGGAGGGCCCGATGGGAAAGGCCGAAGCTCTCGGGGTTGGCGAGCAGACGCTGCCAGGAAAGCTTGCCCTCCACAGCGCGGGATGAAGACCTCGGTAAGTCCTCTGTAGGGAGAAGCCCCAGCTGCCATGCCCTCCGTCCTCTGTGCCCAGCCAGGATGCCCAGAGTGAGTTAGGTCCGAGCCTACCCCGTGAACAGCTTCTTCCCCGAAATCTCAGGACCAGGTGGGATTCTGGTCCTGGCTCTGCCATGGCAGCTGTGGCGCCCTGGGCAAGCCATTCGAACTCTTTTGCGTCCACAGTTCCTTGTCGGTAGAATGAGGGGTTGGGCTTACATCCAGTGTCCTTTCCAACTCAGGTGCCAGGTGTCCAGCCTCAGGAAGCACTCCATCCTTTAGGCTGGGGCGTGGGTGGGAGCTCCTCATCAGAATTAGCCAGTGCTTCCTCTTCGGACCGTCCCCATGACGCTGTCCTCACCCATGCTTCTTGGGGCAGCCTGGCAGCTGCCCCCAGTCCGCCCCTCTGCCCCCGGGCTCTGAGGTTTGGCGCTGCTGTGGGGCCAGGGTAGACGTGTGGTGGAGAGACGGGAGGGAAGGCAGCACTCACGGGTGGTCCTGCCTGAACTCTGTCCCCAGTATGCACCAGAAGGCGTCCAGAAGATCCTGATAGGGAACAAGGCCGATGAGGAGCAGAAGCGGCAGGTGGGAAGAGAGCAAGGGCAGCAGGTACGTGGGAGTGAGCTGGCTGGATCCATCCCTGCGGTTTTTTGCTACCTTCCAGGCCAGTCCTAAGAGCTGTGACCCTGGATCCTATCACCCCCATCAGGCACCCTCATACCCCTGTGATAGGCCAAGGCGCTGGGTGAGCTGCCATCCTTGAGAGCTGGCTTTCTGCCCTTCGGGACAGTGATTTGGGGTCCACCCTGATGCAAAGACCTACTGGGAAGCAACTCTCCCAACTCCCAAGTCCCCCAGAGTGAGATTACCTCTGCTCAAGAGCTCATTCCAGTGTTAGTGAGGAGGAAGGAGTTCAAGGTGCTGGCTTGTTCTCCAACAGCACCCAGGCATAGTGTGCTTTCAGCCACCCACCCGCTCCTCACCCCTCCCTATCCTCCTGACACTTGGAAGGAGGTAGGAAGGTACATGAGGAACGAAGGGCCCATAGTCAGAGAGGCCCTGGGGGCAGAGAGGGTGGGAGGATGGCACTGAGGGGATGCCCAAGCACACAGGGAGACCACCCTCCCAGAGGCAGAAAGGCAGACAGATGCCACAGAGACAAGTCACCCATCCACTCGGAGGGTCTCAAGTGCTTTTTTCCCCACCTCTTCCATCAATAGCATTCCTCTAGCACTTAAGATGAAATTGATTTTTTTATATTAAAATATAATGCAGCCTGGCTAGCATGGCTCAGTGGCAGAGCATCAACTTATGAACCAGGAGGTCATAGTTCGATTCCTGGTCAGGCTATATGCCCAGGTTGCAGGCTCGATCCCCAGTGTGGGGCATGCAGGAGGCAGCTAATTAATGATTCTCTCTCATCGTTGATGTTTCTCTCTCTCCCTTTGCTTCCTCTCTGAAATCAGTATAAAAAATATATTGAAAAAGAAATAAAATAAAATATTAAAAAAAATAATGCCTTGCCCTAGCCAGTTTGGCTCAATGGATATAACGTCAGTCTGCAAACTGAAGGGTCCTGGGTTTGATTCCAATCAAGGACACATGCCTGAATGCAGGCTCAATCCCCAGTGTGGAGCATGTAGGAGGCAGTCGATCAATGATTCTCTTTCATCACTGATGTTTCTTTCCCTCTCCCTCCTCTCTAAAATCAATAAAACTATATTTAACAACAATAATAATAATGCCTACTTATTGAAGAATCTGAGAGTAGAAACAGATGCTGCTGGAATAAGTATTTTTTGAGCCCTGCATGCGCTGAGCCAGTGCTTGGAGGTACATGACCTCATTTAATCATCCCACAGCCTTGGTTAACAGACGCTGTCATCCATCCCCTTTAACAGATGACAGAGCCGGGTCTGAGAGAGAATAAGCATCTTGTCACACAGCTGAACAAGGTCACACAGCTGTTAAGAGGCAGCACTGATATTCAAGTCTAGGACTCATTGCCTCCAATACCGTGTTTTTCATTAGGCTGCCACTGTTTCCTATTTTGGTGTCTGTTGGGTGTGCATATGTGTGTGCTAGCCTGTGTCTTAGAAGGAGCTCGTAGCCTCCTCTGAGAAGTCACCTCCTCTGAGAAGTGGTCACCACTCAGGAAGGGTTGTGAGGGCAACGGCAGACATTCCTGCAGGGGCCGGGCGCCTCCCTTCCCTCCCTGACGCCCTCTCAGGAATGTCCTCTCTTGCAGCTGGCCAAAGAGTACGGCATGGACTTCTACGAAACAAGTGCCTGCACCAACCTCAACATTAAAGAGGTGAGGACGGCCGAAACCAGTTTGGCTCAGTGGATAGAGCGTCGGCCTGCGGACTGAAGGGTCCCAGGTTCGATTCCGGTCAAGTGCATGTACCTTGGTTGCGGGCACATCCCCGGTGGGAAGTGTGCAAGAGGCAGCTGGTCAATGTTTCTCTCTCATTGATGTTTCTAACTCTCTATCCCTCTCTGTTAAAAAAAAAAAAATCAATAAAATATAAACAAACGAACAAACAAACAAACAAAAGAGGTGAGGATGCCCAGGCCCAGCTGCCTGTCTCTGGCTGAGTTTGGAGTGGGGAAGCCAGAGGAGGAGGGGGCAGATAGAAGCCACAATAAAATGAGGCCTCGCCCCTTGGGCAGTTGCAGGGCCGCAGAAGGAGGAGGAGGAGTCATTGGACTAACCCGCGCTCCTTCTGTTCCCCAGTCTTTCACGCGCCTGACGGAGCTGGTGCTGCAGGCCCACAGGAAGGAGCTGGATGGCGTCCGGACGCGTGCCAGCAAAGAGCTGGCTTTGGCAGAGCTCGAGGAGGATGAGAGCAAACCTGAGGGCCCAGGGAACTCTTCCAAAACCTGCTGGTGCTGAGGGCCCTGCGTGGAGCACCCACAAACCTCCCCTCCCCTCAGGAGGCCTGTGGCACAGACAGGGAGTCCGGGCTTTGCCCTGCTTCTCCTCTCACCTGGGTGACCCGGTGGAACATCAGTCACTGCTGCTTCCCCAGCCTGGCCTTGAGGGTGGCCCCGCCTCACCTCTGAGCAGCCCCCAGCCCCTCCCCTGGAGTGGAATGCTTCAGCCCAGATTCCCACCGCAGCCTGCTAGGAGCGAGCAAGCCCCGAGGTGCTGCAGCACGCTCACCCCGAGCTCCCCAGACAGCGGCGTCCGGAGTCCAGGCCACTGCAAGGCTCCTCCTCAGTGCATCTCGTCTCCTGTCCGCTTCTCTCTCTGTCCCCCCACGCCCTGAGCCCTGATGCAGCTCCTTTCTCTTCTCTCTTCCTAAGCCTGTCCAAGGGGATGGACTGCAGCTCCTGGGATGTTCCTTCTCTGCTCCTGGGAGAACTCCCGCCTGTTTTGTGGGGGGGGCCAACGGTGGGGTGCTTCTTCCCACCTCCCTTCCCCACGTCCTTCGTGTGCCCCGGCCCTCACCGCTGGCCTGGGGAAGTGAACCGTCAGGTGGGAAGGACTGGGGCCCTCAGCCTGGGGCTGCCCTACCTCTCCCAGCTTTGGCCTTGCTTGGCTGCCTGCCCACAGGCCTCTTGGGGAACTGAGCTCAGAGGCAGGTGCTTCAGAGGAGAAGATAAACGGCGAGGAGTGGCAAGGATAAGACGTCACCTCCATTCTCTACCTCCCGTGCTGCACGTACCCAATTCCTCCCTTCTGGGCTCCCGGATTACAGACCTGATCCAAAGCCTGAGGGCACTGCGGGGGCGAGGAGAGGCCGGGGCAGTGATTGACAAGCTAGCCAAGGACTCCAGAAAGAGGAGCCTTTGCAGTTGAAGGACTAGTTCCTATAGATCAGGTTACAAGCAAGGGAGAGCAGGCCAGGGAGGGCAGTTTGCAAGCCAAAGGGGGACTCCCTGGGCCCTTCCGGTTCTCGTGTGAGAAGAGCATTTCCCACCACCCCCTCGCAGGTGAGGGGTGGGCCTTCACAGATCCAGCCTGCAGCTCAAGGCTTTCACGCCCCGGAGTTGGTGGGAGAGGAGCGGGACTTCCTGGGAAGAAGGGAGGCAGCCCTGAGGAAATGCTCGGTGCTGTTTTCTCCCTTCTTCCAGACAAAGGGCTTCTCTGCCCCTCTGACTCCTGATAGCAAGGCTTGGGGTTTGCCAGCTGCACGGAGGCTGCAGGTGGAGGGAACAGGACTCCTGCAGGGCTCTTTGTCCAGGAAGACGGTTCTTAACCCATAGGGCCTCAGAGTCTCCCAAAGAAGGCCCTGTAAGGAAGGGACAGGCCAGTGACCAGCCCCAGGAGGGCTTCTGCCCCGCTTCCACAGGAGGACCATCCTTCAGCTACATATTAGCTGCATTGCTTGGCTGGGCCTGGAGCTAAGAGGAACAACTGGGCCCCACTTCCTTACCCAAAAATGGGGTGTGGGCATGAAATCGCCACCCCTTTCTTCAGGGCTTGTCAGGCCAGGAGACCGCAGGCGAGGGGGACTCCGGATGCAGGGAGGGGGCAGGTTAGCAGAGTGGGAGGGGAGGAGGGCAGGCGCAATTGGTCGGTGGCTAGTGAAGAAGATAGAGAGCCCGCGGGGGTGCTTCCTGAGGGCTGGCTCCTCGGATGGCAGGACACAAGCGGCATCACCTGGGGGTGGGAGGGCGGTCACGGCGGCCTTCAGAGTCAGCTCTCAAAGTGCCCTCAGCCCAGGCTTCGGAGAGGGGAGGTCCTGTTCGCCTTGGTCCAAGAGGGTGGGGGGCAGGCAGTATTGCAGATCTCCCTGCGGACAGGCTGAGCACCTCTGCCTTTCTCTCACCCCTCAGGACACGGGACTGTTTTAACTGCCCCAGGGGTTCTGGGAGGCGAAGCAAAGAGGGGAGCTTCTAGGGCTGATTAGCCCCCAGCTGGGGGAGGGGTGGGACCCGGGAGACGTGGGGATGTTGGGGTGCATCACATTCATCAGGTTCCAGAGGTGGCCTCCCGCCCCTAAACTTCTCCAATCCAGGAGTTGGCCTGGGGCCTGGCATTAGGCCCAGACTGCTGAGCGGGCACTCCTGCCTGCGTACACCTCCCCCGTCTGCACCTGCTGTCCTAAGACCCGGCCCCCCACCTCCCCGTGACCGGTGAACTTTGTGTGCTGTGTCTTGGGTCCAGTATATGAATTGTGAGCCGGGGTCATCTATTTTAAACTCAGATGTTTACAAAATAAAGACTCTTTCAAACCACAGGTGTGGATGCCTGTATGAGCTCCTGGGAACAGGTCTCGCTCGGACCCTGGCAGTGAAGGGAAGAGGCAGAGGCAGGGCTGGTGGGAGAGGCTTCCAGAATCCTAAAGCAATGGCAGGAGAAGGACGATGGGAGTGGCCAGCATCTTCCATGCTGTGCCTTTCCTGCTGCCACCTGCAGGGGAGCCCCGAGCGAAGCCCCTATTGCTGGGCGATGGGTTTCTCCTGCAGAAGCAAGACCGCGCAGAATCAATGAGGGCGTCTTTAAAGCCAAGGAGGTTCTCAGCGGCCAGGTGAGAACAGGCTTTCCCGAAGACATGAGGAGGGGCGAAGTCATCTTTCAGAAGTTCATCCTAGCCCTGTGACTGAATACTCCCGGGAGCATGGCAGGTTGGGATCCTGGAGGTCTGGGTGGCGGCAGCTGGTGAATACTATACTGTGGGGTGCAGGGTTGATGGAGGAGGCAGAGAATGGGGGTAAGGGTCAACAGAAGAAGGAAGGAGTAAAACAAGGCAGGGCAAGAGTCTAAGATCTTACCCTGCACTTCCCAGTTTAGAGAGTGCTTGTTATACTTGTTTCCCTCAATCCACACTGATCCTATCTGGTGAGGTAAGCTGGGTGATTTTCCTGGTTCAACAGATAAGGAAACAGGTGTCTAGGGGCCCCAAGTAACAGTGGCAGAGTCGTGGTTAGAGGCAACGGAACCGAAATCTCTGGAGGGGAAAGCTTTATCCTCTATTTAGAAAAATTTTTATAAGCAATTCTCCTTTGCAGCCAGAGTTGAGAACCACTGGCCTAAGCGTTCTGCCTGCTGAGCCAGTGCAGTTACCAGAACCCCTTCTGTCCCTGTGGGAAGCTGTGGGAATCACACACTCAGTGCGTGTCACGAAGTTACCAGCTTCTGCAAAGTGGGCTGGTTTGAGGTGAAGTTGGACAAAGAGGAATTTCAGGAGAGCCGTGATTCAGTTGTGAAAGTTAGGAACCTGGGTGACTCAACGGCTGTACCTAGAGGGGAAAAATGGCTTGTACCTGAGGGAGAGGGCACCCCCCACTCCTCAGCTCAGGAACTTCTGGGACCTTCCTGGAAAGAGATCACAGGAGGGCAGCCATAGGAGGTGTCGGGAAGCCAGAGAACTCTCGGCACGCACGCAAATCTGCCAAGTCCATGTTAAAGTTTAGCCCACTGTCAAGGCCAAGTCCTTCTGACTCAGTGGCTTGGTAGAGACATTTATGGGCTGCTTCTGGGAACTCCACCCAGCCTTTCCTGCTACCTCTTCTGCTGGCCAGATTCCATTCCCACTTAGGTAACAGAGGCCTGTCCTTAGGGAGCAGCCCGTTGAGACCTGTAGGTTCCCACGTGCTGTGAGTGGCCATGGGTCAGGCTACAAAAGACCGACAAGCCAGGCACCCTCTGCGGAGTAATTCTCCATCTTTACAGATCAGATTCTCAGGCCTGGCTGCTGCCAGCCTCGTGGGTTTGTCCTAGGAGACAGTTCCCAGTGGGCCTGTCCCAGTGAAAACTGCCTCTAGTAAACAGTTGCTTTGTTATTGAAATCTCTCCCTAAACTCCCAAAGCCAGGTGAAGCCTAATCGCCAGGTTTACCGCGGGAGAAGTCCAGGCATTAAAAAAGCAGGTGATTTGCTGAGTTGGTGGGTGCTCGGGGGGAAATGAAGTGGAGCGTTCGGTGTTTCTGATTCCTGTGGGCTTCCAGGGGTGTGCTCACACCATGACAAGCCTCAGCAGGTCCCCAGGTGGCCTGCAGTACCCTACATCAGTTTTTTCCAAACTTCTCTCATGATGAGAATCACCTGGTGGAGTTGTTAAACTACAGATTCCTGAATCCCAACTAAGAGCACTAAGCTAAGTATACAATTTTACCTATATGTTCCCAAAAATTCTAGTTTAGCACTTCTTAGTTGGGATTCAGGAATCTGTAGTTTAACAACTCCACCAGGTGATTCTCATCATGAGAGAAGTTTGGGGAAACACTGCCCTACATGGCTGGTGCTGAAAATGTTAGGGGTGATAGATCCTCCCTTCCCTCAGTTGATGGACAGACATAAACCCCACCTGCAGCAAGACATTCCTGAGCTCTGAACCACCAATCAGCACCTGCCAAATACCCTAAACCCCTCATTCCTAAATCCCTAGGTCCCTAATCAATCAGCCCGTGCTGAGTGCCCTAAGCCCCACCCTCTATCCTTAAAGGTGCTTGTAAGCCCCTTGCCGGCTCTCTTCCGCTCCTCTCTGTGGAAGCAGCCAGCAGGGGTACCCTTCCCTCCAATAAAGCCTGTGTCCTGCCACCCAGTCTCCGGTCTAGAATCACAGCAGCTTGACTCCCTGCTGACTTCCCTTCTGGTGGGGTGGGACCAGCACAGCCCGCCGGAAAGTCTTTGGGACTGAGCCGTGGTCTGAGAAGAGAGGGGTATAGCTCATCTCCTCTGAGTGTCCCCACCTGTGATGCACCTCCTGCTACCCTTACCAGACCAGCTGACTGCATCCTCGCAACCCCGTGGGAGCAGGGTGTGGGGTGAGGAAAGAGTACAGAGAGGGAATGTATAAAATGAAGTCATTGTAACCAAGCTGCTAACACGATTAAGTTATGGAAATTGAGGCATGAAGAAATACTCCATTCTCATTCAGATGAGCCTGGCATCATGCACTTAAACTTTTTTGAACTTTTTAGTTTTGCATCAATGCCTGGATATACATCTGGACCTCCAGGTGACCCTCTAATTATCCCCCGAAAGGCCCGCCTATATATCCGACTGACATTCATTATCCAGACCACCACGACTTGATCTGACCTCCTGGTCCCGTCTTTCTAACCACCTGGCAGCCTTTATCCTGACATTATCCTGGCATCTGACTGACAACATTCTGGACCAGCCCTAGGGCTAAGCAAGCAGGACTGATACTTCTCAAGAATGTACTTTTTACTATAAGAATGTTTGCCCTACTTGGTTTGGCTCAGTGGATAGAGCGTTGGCCTGCAAACTGAAGGGTCCCAGGTTTGATTCCAGTTAAGGGCACATGCCTGGGTTGCCAGCTTGATGCCCATTGGGGGTGTGCAGGAGGCAGCTGATCAATGACTCTTTCTAATCATTGATATTTCTACCTCTTTTCCTCTCCCTTCCTCTCTGAAATCAATAAAAATATACATATTTATATTAAAAAAGAATGTTTAACTTTTCTTTCTTTTTTGGAACACTTCTGGGGTTTTGCCCAGCTGTGTTCCCAGTTTGCAAACTCCAAGATCCTGGAATAAATCTCTGAGAGTTATTTCTAGCAAAGCCTCCAGTCTTTCTGAGTCAGGGGTATTGGAGAGGTGATAGCACCATGCAGGGGCAGACTTTCTTGAGAGCAGGTGACCTCACTCATTGGAAGACTGTACGAGACAAACACAACTTCATCTCTTCAGCCTGATACAAACCAAGGCACCAAAAGCCATCCTATATAATATAATTGCCATCCTAGATAGCGTCACACCCTTACACAACACCCTTGTGCGATGTCGTCACAATATGGCCATCCTCACATTGTTCAGAATGGCCACCACAAGATGGCCACCACAAAATGGCCAGCAGGGGAGGGTAGTTGTGGGCAACCAGGACAACAGGGGAGGGCAGTTGGAGGCAATCGGGCCAGTAGGGGAGCAGTTAGGTATCAATCAGGCTGGCAGGGGAGCAGTTAGGGGGTGATAAGGCTGGTAGGTAGAAGTGGTTAGTGGCAATCAGGCAGGCAGGCAGGCAGGTGAGCAGTTGGGAGCCAGCAGTCCCGGATTGTGAGAGAGATACCAGATTGGAGAGGGTACAGGCCTTTCCCCTACCCCCGTGCATGAATTTCATGCACCTGGCCTCTAGTCCTATATAATAAAAGGGTAATATGCAAATCAATCGAATGGCAAAATGACCAGTCGCTATGACGTGCACTGACCACCAGGGGCAGATGCTCCCACAAGGAGAGTGCTGCTCAGCCACAAGCCAGATGACGGCTGGTTAGTGCAGACAACACTAAGGATGTCTGACTGATGGCTTAGGCTTGGTCCCCTCTAAGCCGAAGTCAGACATCCCCCAATGGCTCCCAGACTGCTGAAGGGCGTAGGTGGGGCTGAGGGGATCGGCCTCCCTCCTCTAGTGCACAAATGTCATGCACTGGGCTCCTAGTTATTTTATAAAAATCACACAAGTGCCCCAAAGTCTCCTTTGATTTAATGGAAAGCAACAGCCAAAGAGAAAACGATGAACAATAATATATATATATATATTTATTTATTTCAGTTTTAGTCTGAGTCAAGGGGACATGCATCCCAATTCTCTTCCTCCCATTTCAGATCTCAGCAGACCCTGACTTCTCCATTGCACAGTTGGTTCAGAACTTGGCACTCAGCAGGCACCCAATAAATGCATGCACCACGTGAAACAACTTGCTAGGGCAAGTAGGAGTCAATCCCGTGTCCCTCCCTCCCTTTTTTCCTCCAGGGTGACCTTTGGGGCTCTGGTTTCCTGCAAGGAGTGAATTATTCATGTCTGCTCATAGCTATCAAGTTGGCCCTCCCAGGCTGCCAGCAGGGTAGGGCAGGGAGGTGGCTTTGTTTAGGCTGTAAATAGGAGGAGCACCCTCCTTGTTCAAACAGCCCTTGCAGGTGGGTGACTGTTTTTGCTAAGTCATCCTGAGGATGCTTAAAGCCCCATTGTGAGATCCTTCCTGTCCTTCCAGGCTCCTCCTCCCTCCCCACCCCTTTAATAGATCCTTCAGTGGGCTCCCGCCACCTGCCAGGCTCACCCTTCAGGCTCACCATGGCGTTCATTGCCAAGTCATTCTACGACCTCAGTGCTATTAGCCTGGATGGGGAGAAGATAGATTTTGAAACATTCCGAGGCAGGGCAGTGCTGATTGAAAATGTAGCATCGCTCTGAGGCACCACCACTCGGGACTACACCCAGCTCAACGAGCTGCAATGCCGCTTTCCCAGGCGCCTGGTGGTTCTTGGCTTTCCTTGCAATCAATTCGGACATCAGGTGAGGGGTCCTTGTATTGCACACAAGGGCTGGGTTGTCTAGTAGGCTAAGGGGAGGGGAGAAAGACTGTGTGTGTTGGAGTGCCTGGAATCGGGGGCATGTTTGTCAATGTAGGTCTTTAGTACATGTGACTGACTACCAAAGGGAAGTTTACGTAGGATTCTGTCTGTGATTAAAATTCGAGGGTGTGGATTTTTAGTATTATTATTATTATTGCTTATTATCTTCCCACTATGCTCAATGAGGGCTGGTACCGGGTCTGTTTTTCTATTGCATTATCAGTGCCTCAGATATAGAAGATACTCATTAAATATTTGCTAAGTGGATGAATGGAGGGAATGAAAGATCAAGAATCAAAGGAGGATTAAACTGACTCAGGAGACCTTAGATCTAGCTAGTGTTGGTTCTGCTACTTAGTGGCTCTGTGCCCTAGGAAGAGTCACCCACTTTTTCTGTTTCACTTCCCTCACCTCTAAATTGCCACTTATCTCATAGGATTCCTGTGAGGGTTCAAGGATAAGATACACAAAAGTAATATGCAAATGCAAGCAACTTTATTGTTTAGATGGAAGACTTTCACTTGCTTCTTTGAAATCAGCCAAGTGGAGAGTAAATCTGAGGGAGAGCTCGGGATGTTATGTCTTCTCCGAGCATCACAGGCACCTCTCTGTCTCTGACTAATGGGTCACGTTGTCATAGAGCTTCAGCCCACACGCCTCAAGCTATCTTTTCGGGGTTCTTCTATTTTCATGTATTGTTTTAACAGCACAAGCAGGCAGAATGTCCTCAGCTGAACCCTCTCGTTAAATCCCCTTAGCTCAGTTCCCAGTGGCATGAAGAGAAGGAAGAGATTAGCAGAGATATAGGCAGGCAGACAAATGTCATTGGCTGTGACAAACCTGAGCCCACACCATTACTGCTCTGACTGTTCCTTCCCTGACTCAGTCTGCTTCTAGGCTTGGCTAAAAGCGGGAGAGATGGAAAGGACAAAACCTCTTCATTTTATTTTATTTTTAATATATTTTATTGATTTTTTTACAGAGAGGAAGAGAAAGGGATAGAGAGTTAGAAACATCAATGAGAGAGAATCATCGATCAGCTGCCTCTTGCACACTTCGCATTGGGAATGTACCCACAACCAAGGTACATGCCCTTCACCGGAATCGAACCCAAGACTTTTCAGTCTGCAGGCCAATGCTCTATCCATTGAGCCAAACTGGTTTCGGCCCATTTTATTTTGTTTTTTAAAAAATATTTTTATTTATTTCAGAGAAGAAGGGAGAGGGAGAAAGAGATGGGAACATCAATGATGAGAGAGATTTGTTGATTGGCTACCTCTTGCATGCCTCACAATGGGGATCGAGCCCCCAACTAGGGCACGTGCCCCGACTAGAAATCAAACCATGACTTCCTGCTTCATAGGTCAATGCTCAACCTCTGAGCCATGCCAGCTGGGCAAAAGCGAATCATCTGTAGAGGTGTCTCTCTGGCCTGGAGGTGCCTCCAGACTCACATCATCACTTCCAGCTAGCTAGTTGCTGGAGGAAGTCCACAATCTACCAGTAGCCAGGCAGGCATTTGCATTAGAGATAAGAAACCTAATAGAGATGGACTCTGGGCGGCCTAGAACTGACTGTTCTAATTGGTCCTAGTAGGTCAGAAGCAGGGACTTTCTCCCAGTGGGAGATACCTGACTCTTATTAGACTTGGGGGGGAGGGGGGTGGAAAATTAGGGTTTTCATAGGCCTTTTGGGGATGTCATGGGTGGGGAATGCTGAGTGGGGACAGATCGGTGATGGCAGTGGGAGGGAAAGACAAGTAACAGGTTCAGGCTGAAGGATTCATAGCTGAGCAGACTGAGTGTGAGGGGCAGGAGTCTTGGATAGTAGTCCAGAAATGAAAGGAATGATAGTTACACATTCACAACCTTTAGCCCTCAAACACTTAATTTCCTTAACTCCCTCTTTCTCTGGCCTATTCCAGAACCCTAAATCCTCTAACCCCTCACCCCTAAACCCTATATCCTATTCATTCATCCCAGTTAGCCACTAAGTAATTACATTTAGAATACATTCACTGATGTCTCCAAATCACTTTGCCTTTGAGGCACCTTAAAACTAGACTTCCTTGGATGGAGGTCTTCCTTCAGCAAAGCTCCCTTCTACTTACACTTCACATATAGGACAAGGCAGATGAAAGCAAGAAGCTAAACCCCATTCCCCTCGGCCTCCATTTCACCCTGGGCCTGAGGAGCTGAGTAGGGCAAAGGCAAAGGCCTCAACACTCACATGTCAACAGAAGAAACAGAGGCAAAGCCACGGCATAGAAAGGGTGAGGTGGTAGCAGGATGTATGTGTAGGTATGTGTGTGTAGGCATGTGTGGGCAAGTAAGTAGGAAGGTTCTGGGCAGCAGGACCTGAGCCTCCTTTCCCTTCCTACTGCCCTGAACTTAAGGTTCCTTGAGATTCAGACAGATTCCCTAAGAACTGCTCAGGGTAGGTTGGAGAGAGAAACAACAGTTCAAAAAGGCTAAATCTCTCAGTATAAGAACAGCCAAGATAGGAACTGCAAAAACTTTCAGAAACGGCCTAGCAAAACATAATACCCTGTTTCCCCAAAAATAAGACAGAGTCTTATATTAATTTTTGCTCCCAAAGATGCACTAGGTCTTATTTTCAGGGGATGTCTTATTTTTCCATGAAGAAGAATATGGTACACATTTATTGTTAAATGAAAATAAAGGAAATTTATTACCTGTATACAGTACAGTAGTATAGTAGTTGTCAACACAAACCAAACTGTGAATCCTACAATATCAAGAATTTACTCATTTATTCAATGACAATCATGTCATCATCTTCTGGAACATCATCATAACAATCCAATTCCTGAAGTTCCTGGTGAATTTCTTATGACTCCATTTCTTTCAGAATCAGTGGACTAAATCTCTCATGTTTAGCCTGGGGGGGGAGGGGGCCTTATTTTCGGGGGGATGCCTTATATTTCACTCAGAAGGAAACCTGTAAGTAGGTCTTATTTTCGAAGGATGTCTTATTTTCGGGGAAACACGGTAGCTGTGAGAGGGAACACTCCAAGGCAAGGGTAGGGCAGAGCAAATAAAGAAGGGAAGAAAAGGAACTGAGAGGGAAGAGATACATAGAAAAGAATGATCCTGGGGAAGTCTAGAAGGTGAAAGATTTGCTTTGTGGACCCTTCCTTTCGCCTCCCCTTTCCATGCTCTCTGTCTTCTTCCTCCCCCAGGAGAACTGTCAGAATGAGGAGATCCTGAACAGTCTCAAGTACGTCCGCCCTGGGGGTGGGTTCCAGCCCACCTTCACCCTGGCCCAGAAGTGTGAGGTGAATGGTCAGAACGAGCATCCTGTCTTCGCCTACCTGAAGGACAAGCTCCCTTACCCCTACGATGACCCGTTTTCTCTCATGACCGACCCCAAGTTCATCATTTGGAGCCCAGTGCGCCGCTCCGATGTGGCCTGGAACTTCGAGAAGTTCCTCATCGGGCCGGAGGGGGAGCCTTTCCGACGCTACAGCCGCACCTTTCAAACCGTCAACATCGAGCCCGACATCAAGCGCCTCCTCAAAGTTGCCATATAGACGCAGGCTGCTCAGCACACAGATCTCCTACTCCACCCAGCCCCTGAGCCTCTCTCCTTAGGATTCAGAGTGTCATCAGGAGCCACCGCTGGACCTGAGCTTTCCCTTGAGATCATTCTCCTTCATCGAATGTCGGCCTGTTTCTCTCCCAACCTTCTGGTTGGTGACTCAACTTGGCCTCCGAGATGTCGGCGGGCTCTGGGCCTTCACAGAATGATGGCACCGTCCTAAACCTGTATGGGCGGGGTCTGAGGCATGTGGAGAGCCCGGGCCAGCCTGCTAGCTGAGTCCAATAAAGGGCAGGTGTGGAAATGGCCAGGCTCTCTGTGTCTTCTTCCTTGACAAGGTGGAGGGATGGTACAGATGCAGGTGGGCCAGAGGAGCTGGCAGCACACCAAGGCTTCTGAGGTGGAGGCTCTGATCAAGGGGAACCCCCTAATTGCTGCCTGGAACACAGGCCCTGGTCAACTTCTGCTCCAGGCAGATGGAGTGGCCGTAAATTGTGTTATTACTTTATGGCCCTTCTCCAGAGCTGTGGGAAGGAGGCGGGAAAGAGGAGGGAAAGACAATGGGCCCTTTGGTTAGAGGACTAGAAGGTTAGTTAGGGGATTCCCAGAAGTCCAGGCCGATTAAATATTACCTACCCCTTGAGGATTTCCTGGTAAGTCAATTCGGTGGACTTTACGGGCAGCGGGGCGGGGAGGGTGCAGTCACTGGCGCACAAAGGGCACTTCATCAGTTTCCTGGTCACCTTGCTGAGCGCGCTTGTTTCTGATCTTGTGCTAGACTGCCTCTCCCTCCTTTGTAATTTTCACATAGCAGCCTTGTCTTTCTCAGCCTCACATACAAACTCAGGCACAAGACAAACAAGTTCAGGCATGAACCATCGGCTTTGTTTCTTCCACAGGGTGGGGACAGGGGAGGGCCTCCCTTCCCGGTTGGACTGCCAACGTGACAGCTGTCCTCTGTGACAACAGGGTTCTGCCCAATGGCTTTGTGAGGACGGCGTCCAGGTCCTCATCCAGTCCAGGCACACTCCCCAAACACGCCGCCACCAAGGCCACGTCCAATCCCGTTCCCGGAAAGGCCTGCTGAAAGGCCCCTGCCCCGTCACCCTGCCCCACAAACCTCTCCCTAGAAACTTCTCATTGAACCTTTCCTTCTCTGACCACTAGATGGAATATTCCACTTCTTTCTACTGAAGCCCTGAAGGGACAGGTCTCCAAACTGAACGCACTGGTTGAGAACACCAGTGCTGAGGAGGAAAGGTTTTTCTAAGCACTCGCGTCATCTGAGAAGCAAATGCAGAACAGAGGTTAAGGATCCCCATGGTCTGACCTTCAACTAAAGTTATGTCATCTACCGTGCTTTATTTCCAAAGGGTAACCTGAGCGTTCTAGTGGGACCCCGGCACCCTTCTGCGGGGCCTTCTGCTAAATTAAGGTTGCCCTCGACTTGAAAACTCAAGCCTTTTAAGAGTCCTGCATTGGGGTACGGATTTGAGGGAGCAGGACCAACCACTGATTCTAGAGCATTCATTGCAGAGACAAATTGCTTCCCTGAAGAAATGCAATACAGAATTCGTGTTGGATGCTAGAAGGACTAGTTCATCATCTTGATAGTGTGACAGCCTGTGTTACATCCGATAACAGAGGCAGCTATCCTGGCTGTTGGCATTATGCTACAGGCAATTTAGGGCCTGACATGCCAGTATAATGTGTTGGATCTTCCCCATGAGGCTCTAGTTGAATTATTTAGAGATTCCCAAAGGAATGGGAATTATAAGTGATTTTGCTGAGAGTCAGAAAGGACCCTAAATGCTAGGAAGAGGACCCCTCCTTTGTGCAGGAGAAATGCTATTTGCTTCAGAAGGGACCTGACCGTTTGGCTGAGGGAGAAACAGAGAGGCAGGCTGGAGGAAGATGTTTTTACAGGGTGCTTTGCTTTACTAAATCATTAGTTGTGCTGTTGTTGAAATGAGAAACTGTTTCCTCTCCTTAAGTCCTCATCTTGTTTGTCGCCCTTTACATCCTCAACAGTAGCAGCTTATGGTCATAAATTTAATGACAAAGCAAAGCTTAATATGATCACCCATTTTCCTAGATCAACAAAATCTTTTAATCATATTTCCAGAGGGGCACTCAGGAAGTAGGGGGAAGGCTCATCAACAAGCTTCCCCACAGGGAGGAAGAAAAGGTTGTGGGTAATGCTGCTCCATTTAAAAGGACAGAGATCATCCTTCTCTGAGGACTCTTCCAAATAACTGATTTCAGAGGACCAAGATACGGAATGAAACTGAGCATTATTTCCATAAATATGTTCCCATAGCTATTTGTCCTTAGTTTAAGAAAGTTAGCCAACCTCTAATTGGTGATTTCATATCTGGTGATCTCTTATAATCACCATCACAACCATCATCCAGACTACCATGTAGTATACTCATATACTGCACTGAGTACTTTATTTACTGATTTTTTTTTTAAATTTTTTTAGAGAGGAAGGGAGAAATAGAAACATCGATGTGTGAGACATCAATCTGTTGCCAACTGTATGTGCCCCAATTGGGGATCGAACCTGCAACGTAGGTATGTATCCTGACCAGGAATCGAACCCACAACTTTCTTTTCTTTTTATCCTTACCCAAGGATATTTTCTCCATTGATTTCTAGAGAGAGATACAAGGGGGAGAGGAGGGGGGAGAGAAACATTGACGTGAACAAGACATGACTGGCTGCCTCCTGCACATGCCCCTACTGGGGCTAGGGTACCTGCAACCGAGGTACGTACCCTTGACAGGGGATCAAACGCATGATCTTTGGTCTGAGGGCTGACACTCTAACCACTGCTCCTAACTGGTCAGGGCTGAATTTGCATCCTCCTGGTACACGGGACAATGCTCAGCTAACTGAGCCACACTGGGTAGGGCTACACTAAGTACTTTAAATAGGTTAGGCCAATAGTCAGCAAACTCATTAGGCAACAAAGCCAAATATCAACAGTACGATTGAAATTTCTTTTGAGAGCCAAATTTTTTAAACTTAAACTTCTTCTAATGCCACTTCAAAATAGACTCGCCCAGGCTGTGGTATTTTGTGGAAGAGCCACACTCAAGGGGCCAAAGAGCTGCACGTGGCTCGCGAGCCGCAGTTTGCAGACCACGGGGTTAGGCTAATTAATCCTCATATTGACCCTGAGAGGAATTTTTACCTCTATTTAAAGAGAAGGAAAGTAATAGTGTCAACAATATAAATAAATGGTGACTGAGTATGACACTGCCAAGGACAAAGGACTAAAGAGTAGCACAACTGAAAGTTAAACCCAGGTCAGCCTGACTCCAAAGCCCCTATTGCTTTCTTCTATCTGTTTCTTTCTTTTTTTTTTTTTTTTTAATATATTTTATTGATTTTGTACAGAGAAGAAGGGAGAGAGATAGAGAGCTAGAAACATCGATGAGGGAGAGTCATCGATCAGCTGCCTCCTGCACACCCCCCACTGGGGATATGCCCGCAACCAAGGCACATGCCCTTGACCGGAATCGAACCCAGGACCCCTCAGTCCCCAAGCCGACGCTCTATCCACTGAGCCAAACCGGTTTCGGCTATCTGTTTCTTCATACATACCACTGACAGCTGCCTCTACCCCCCACACTGTACAACCTAAATACCTTTTGCTTACATCTTATGATTTAAAAACTCCAGGAAGGAGACATGATTACTTCTATTTTTTCATTGAAGAAACCAAGGTACAGATAGAATATGAGCCTTGTCTAACCTCCCACCATGAGCATGGGGCAAAGCTAATTCTAGACCCAGGTTCTTGATTTCCTTTCTCCCCATCCATAGTGGGTTTCACAACAGAGACTTGTTTTACAGTCAAGAAATACACATTTTTAAAACTGAGAGCCCTAAATTAAGTCAATAACTTAACCTTGCTCACAAAAGAATGAAACTGAAAGGAAGTTACACTGAAATAAAGAACAGTGAACATATATATATTTTTAGTGATAACTTACAAGTAACAAACCATATCTGGTTGTGCCCAAACTATATCATATATCAATTAATTAGTACTGGGAGAACCCAGAACAACTTGAGAAAGACAGAGCTAGCTAAATCAACACAATAAACATACTGAGCTTTGAACTCCAAGATCTGAATTAGGCAACTCAGATCTGTACCTCATGGAGCAAATAGAGAAAGAATGAGGTGTCAGGACATGCCCACATCCCCAATTACACGTATAGGTGAAGCCTTGTCCTTCTTGTATCTCAGGGTAGGAAGGTAAAAAAGACTGATGCTGTTTGCCTGGTTCCTCTCAGGCAAACATAGACTCAGTAGAACTGGGTTCAAAAGGTCTTTATTCTTTTAGATTTAGAGAAAAATTCTAGAAGTTGAGAAAGAAAGTACCACAAAACATAGCACAGTGTTGGTAAAGTAATAATAAAATATATGGATAGGATTTACGTTTTAAATTTTTGCAGTATATTTAGTTCAAAATAGATAATTACACATCTCGCAGTAGACGAAGATATCAGTAGAGGAATATGAAATTGTACTCTTGAGCTCCAAATGACTAAGGTGGAAGCATTCAAACTCCAAAAAGGGACGATTCAGAAGCTGAAAAGGGCTTAGTGCTATTTAAAGTAATGAAGCACTTTCTCTGCTTTCTGGATTCATTTCACCAAATGATTTCCTCAGCAGGTCAGATATAGATTTGCTGTAAGTGGAAAATATTTTCCAGGAATAAAACAACTGGTTCCTAAGGAGCAGCTAACTTAGCTTTTCCAAGTCATAAATTTTGGTCTGACATGCCTTGGTTTCTCAGAGGACAGAGGATATTCTCAAGCTCTTCCTGACCTTGCCAGACCCTGTATTTTATGTATACTGGACACTCCTGAGAGGGAGTGATTACTAGCTGTGTGACCCCAAGTAAGCTACTCAACTTCTTGTGCTTAGTTTCTTTGGCTCTAAAATCAGATTAATAATAGTACCTACCTCATGGAGCTATGAATGAGGATTAAATCAGTGCTTTTTTAAAAAGGCCTTGGCACAACGTAAGTACTCAATAAACCTCAGCCTTTATTATCCCTGTTATAAAACAAAGCTTCTCCCAGGTATCAATCATGATCACTTGGCTCACCTTTTTTTTCTTAGAAGCAAAGCCTTAGTTCAGAAAGCCTGAGTCTCTTAGAACTGAAGAGGAAACGATTTTGTTTCTAATGCCTAACCTTTTTAAGTTTGGTCTCACAAGGAGAAGAACTAACTGAAGTCATCTCATTTGTATCTATTTCTTTCTATGCTTTCCAGAGCATTTTACAT